GCCTGGGGTGACTGGGGGGGGGGGGGGACTGGCCAGAAGTTGGCCTTGTGGAGACTATAAAAGACCAGGGGAGGTGGTGACCTTGTCAAAGCTCCGACTCTAGTTGGGAGGCTACTGCAGAGGTCTGGGCGGGAGGCCCTAGTGGTTTGGACTAAGATGTAATAGAACATGAGAGAAGGGGCTAGATTTGGAAGATAGTTTTGAGCCAGCCAACAGAATTGGCCAATTGAAGAGTGAAGGAAAAGGAGTCATCGAGAATAATTCCAGAGGTTTTGGCTTGAATATGGAGATGGATGTTGACTGAGATGAGGAAGATTGAAGGCGGAGCTGCTTAGTTCTTCATTAACTGTCTAACTGAGTAATCACGAACCTACATCTCGGGGGTCCAGTATATACCCTCACCACCCCCTAACTTTACATCACTGGGGGGTATTTGTAGAAGTTCTTTATGTCATTACTACTCCAAGTATTTATTTTTCCCCTTGTGATGCAAAGTTTTAGGATCTGCTTTCAACCATGTGGTACATTTCTCCTTCCTTTTGGTGTTCAGTTTATTACCTCAAAAACATCACATTCAAGTTATTCACTCACACTCTAGTGACTCCCTTGTGGGTGCTCTTTGCATTTTGTTGTTTAAAAAATTTTATTGAGATACCATTGACATATAACATTTGTTTCGGGTGTACAACGCAATGATTTGATATTTGTATATGGAGACATGATCTCACAAGTCTAGTTCACGTCTCTCACCACACATAATTACAAAAGTATCCCCTTGTGATGAGAATCTCTTTCTGTGCAACTTTCAAATATCGGGAACCATATTATTCACTACAGTCACCATGCTGTATTATTCATGACACCCCTAGAACTTTATAACTGGAAGTTTACACCTTTGACCCCCCTTTATCCATTCCACCCATCCTATTTTCTGCCCCCAGTGTTCCTTATATGTTCCCTGTAGTCCTGGCTTCTCTCCTTAGCACATTCTGGGTCCTTGAGCCTGGACATGGGTGTCAGGTGTAGATATGCCCACCTGATCCGAAGTTGAGGCATATGCTTCTAACAACATTCCTTGTTTTCTCTTTCTAATTGGTAAAACGTTGTCCTCTCTTTAATAACAATTAAACTGATTCCATCTACTTATTTATCATAATACTAACACTGTCTACTTTGCCTTAAAAATATTTGGGGGCTTTAATTGGCTTGGGAATAACAGCTGAGTTATTTTTCATGAGTATTTTGTTTGGAAGTAATGTTCCTTTAGTGCCTAGTACAGTAGCTGCTACATAGCAGTCAGTAAACTTGAGGTGTTATTAATAAAATATAATGGGGGTAGAAGGGTGGCTCCCTGAACCAATACACTGGTTCTAGAGTTCAGATTAGCCAGGTCAAGAAAACAGAACTGTACACTGATTCATCAAATCCCTGCGTGACTTTAGATGAAGCCCATAATGTCTTTGGATCTCACTTGTCTCCCAGGTAAATGAGAGAATATAGATAGATAACCAGTCTTAACACTGCTCTGAGTCTGGTAAATGATATCTAGTTTCTCTCTGATCTTTTATCAAATTTATCAACAGAAATGCTTATCAAAAGTTTTGTGTTGGGTCTCCCTAGTGGTGCAGTGGGTTGAATGCAGCACTGTGAAGCTGTCTGCAGCCTCCACAGCGCCAGTTTGATTCCCGGCCGGCCAGGAGGCTACCCACATGGCGCGGCAGACCTCTTCTGGCTTGCCCGCTGCTCCCCTCAGCAGTGTACTTTGGTCCTTCTGCCTGTTCTGCTCCCTGCTCTGTCTCTGGTGAATTCTCTCACCCTCCTGCGCCTCTGGGCTGTACCCCAGTGCTTATATAAATAAATAAATCTTTAACAAAAAATTTTGTCTTAGGTTAACTACATTAGCATAAGTGATATTTATTGCTAGATGTGACCTTCTTGTAGCACATTGTAGAATCCCAGTGTTCACATCACCTTCTATAATTATAGATTAAGGGTGAGGAAATGTTCTATGTCAAGAGAAGTTTAGCAGTTGCGCATCTTTCTCTTTTTAGACTCCTGGTCTGTGGCCTATTACTCACTGTGGCTCTTCCTCAATCTCACTTTTGTTATCGTCTTTTGTGATCACTAGGGTTGAAAGGCACCTCTAGCTTCTAGTTCCCCACTCTGCCTTCCCTGGTGCTTGGCATTGCATTTGCGCTGTGCTTTCTTGCTGCTTCTACCTTTTGAAGTTTAAAAATAGAAAATGAAAAGCAAAACCACAGTCTTTTCACATTGGCTGAATTGTTATTCATCTAACAGATTTTTTGGTGAATTCCATAGTGTGACAGATATACAGTCAGACTAAGCCCTGGGAGAAGTGGACAGAGAAATACTTTTATTTTGACAATCACACACACAATCAGAAATGGACCTTTGCAATCAGTCTGTAGGGGGAAACTTTGGAAAGTGAGGCTGAGAGACAGAAGGGCCCTCTGCTCCTGGACCTTCGCGGTTCCCCCGCCAACTTCCCTGCGCCCAGAGTTGATGAAAGGACTCCATTAAGATCCTGACTCTGGCTCTGTGAATATCCCACAGCCAGGTCCTGGGAAGCACAAAACACATAAAATCCTTTCATCGGTCTGGGGAATATTACTTCAGAGACCACATCCCACATCAGACCAAGCATACTGAAATATGGCAGCCTCTACTTGAAACAGAATTTTCTTCCTGACACATTTTTTGAGAAATATTTTTTACAATTTGTTCTGGAAATTGCTTGGCTGCAAGTAAGCACGCTGGCTGTTAATTTTGCAGCCATTATCTTAGCATACTTGGGGATTATTAAGACTAAATTAAAACCTAAAAGTAGGCTACAGCTTGCTTCCAGATAAAATATTTTTTGATTACCAAACCAATAATTAGTGAAGTTAACCTGACATTACATTTTGTAAACCCTTAACATTTTTTTGTTTCAATTTTGTAGCTATCTGGTTTTGAAGACAATACATGGTTTTCAGGGCCTCCTTCATTTATACAGGCCCTTGAATAGCTTCAAGATCCAGGCACTGTACCTCACAACCAATGGTTTAGAACATTCTGCCAGGGAAGAGGAAGTCCTTAGCTCTGAGGGCTTCATACTTACCTTCTTCTGGGAATAAGAGCTGATTTGGGGGGGGGGGAGCATTTTGCTAAGAAAACAGACCCCTCTGACATATAGATAGTAGTAGTCTGATAAAAGAAGGTGAAACCACTACAAAAAGCAGAATAATTGGGCACAGAATCCTGGGTTCCAGGCATTAGCTTCCGGTAGACCTTGAGCAGGCACTCTCTATGCCTTTTCCTGCCCCCTGCCTACCTTCCAGACAGCCATCTGGCCACAGCAGAAGCAAGGCCAAGCCATGAGTTCTAGGAGCTGAAAGATGCATAGCGCCGGCTGAACCTGAGGGAAGTTGCCTTCACATGTCAAAAGCAACGTAATTTTAATGTCTATATTATTTTGCCAAAATGTAAGAAGGAAGGAAAAGGAGAAAAGAGTAAGGAAAGGAAAGGATTAGGGGAAGGAGGAAGGAAAGACTCTACCATCAACACTTGCATTTAAAAGCTATTGATCTTCATTTTCTGTGCAAAATGCCAAGTCTTCCTTCTCTAGATAGAAGGACATTAGATATTCTCATCTTCTATCATCTGTTTCCTTCAGTGAGAGACAAGTGCAGTGTAATGGAAAGGATAGATTTCAGAATCAAATAAGCTTTATTCAAAATCAGCTCTGCTACTCATTCACTTCGCGGTTCTCAGAGTGGGGGCCAGGAACTCCTAGGGTTCTCTCAGAGCTTTATAAGGAACCTATGAGGTCAAAATTAATCTTCATGATAATGCTAAGATGTCATTTTTCACTCTCATTTCTTGAGTATCTTTCCAATGGCTACATGATGTGATACCACCACACCTTGAATGCATGCACAGGTATCAAAATCCAGGCATTTTTTACTAAGCTCAGTATTAAAAATCCTCTCAATAATGTAAAACAATACCACTCACCACACTTTTTTTTATTCTGGAAAATATTTTAATGTTCTAGTGTCGTTGGGGCTGTTGTTAAATGAATTAATAAATGCATGCTTCTAAAGTTCCTCATTCCTGATGTCTAATATAACAAATATTGATAAATAGAACACATATTTAAAAAGCTCTTTGGAATCCTCAATATCAGAGGAAGAAGATAAGAGGATTCTAAAACCAAAAAGTTTGAGAACCCCTGTACTACTTAACAGCAATTATATTGATTGACTGTTTCCTTGTGCCAGAAGCTGTGCAAGGCAGGTCACATTCTTCATCTCTTTTAATTTTTTCAAACCAAACCATAAAGTAGAGGCTTAAAAAGAGTCCTTGCAGGACCTCCCCAGTGGCGCAGCAGGTGAGCCCTGGGCTGCAAAGCTGCCCGCAGCCTCTGCAGCGCCGGTTCGATCCCTGGCCGCTGGCGAGGGTCCCACATGGCGCACAGACCTCCCCTGCCGCCCGCTGCTCCCCTCAGCAGTGTACTTTGTCACTCTCCCTGTTCTGCTCCCCGCTCTGGCTCTGGTGAATTCTCTCACCCTCCTGTGCTTCTGACTGTTCCCAGTGCTTGTATAAATAAATAAATCTTTAAAAAATAAATAAACAAATAAAATAAAAAGAGTCCTCGCAGCCCCGACTTTCTCAGAGCTGGAAGTGAAAGAGCTATTTATGTCCTCCTGGTCCCCAAACCACACTCTGGATTACTGATTACTCACAAATTAATTCTCCATAATTTTGAAAAAGTATTTTTGCGCCTTTCAATCTATTTCCTTATTAAAATAGAGGAGAATGCTACCTGCCCTTCAGGATTCTTCAAGAGCAAAAGAGCTGATATGCATGGAAATGTTAGCACAATGGCTGACACCAAATAGACCTTGACAAACCTTAACCTCCTTCCTTCTATCCCTTCCCGTCTCTCACCATAATGTCACAGCAACCAGACTCACAGCTCCCCTTTTTTTCTCTAGATGGTCTTCAAGCAGACAGAGAAGCTGATGGAATAGAAGGAGTTGATGAAGATATGATTGTGACCCAAAGTCAGACCAACTTCATCTGCCCCATTACACAGGTGCTGTCTTCCCCTTCCCCTAAAGAAAAGGCAATTCCCTGCACAGAGGCAAAAAAAAAACTTCCCTGTGTTTTCTGACTTGATTCACTTCCAGAGCTGAGGAGGGGGAAATGAGGGTCGCTGAGTGTGGACATGGGAGGTTCTCAGGCAGAGTTTTTCAGTCAGGCCCTCAGGCTCTAAGAAGTAATTCATGACCCACAGGCCAAGTGACATTGTTGCCACTGGTTTCCCTGCATTTCTTGTGTGGTCACTGCCCTAGTAATTATCAAAGGCATGACATAGGAAGGCTGGGTAGACAATGCCCCAGGACTAGGAAAAAACAGAGCCAAATAACTGGTGGCTGGGAGAAGTTACCGGAAGTTGATCATTATCTTTCCTGAACGCCTAATCTTTCTTTGATTGCAGCTGGAAATGAAGAAGCCTGTGAAAAATAAAGTCTGTGGCCACACCTATGAAGAGGAAGCCATTGTTCGCATGATTGAGTCCAAGCACAGGCGGAAGAAAAAGGCCTGGTGAGTAGATGCAGGAAGGGAAGTGTGGCCTTCCTAGCGGGTGGCGTTAGTCAGAGGGGTAAGAGCATGCTGGAGAAAAAGATCTTAAAAGTCTGCCTTCAAGTACATTCATCTCCTGACTGGTGTAAACATGGAAACTGGCTTTTTGCAAACACAATGCAGGAGGGGAAAATTAGTAATCTTTTCAGGAAGAGCCTGAGGGAATGTCTATCGCACCTTCAAAACAGGAGCAAAGGAATTACATTAAATTTTAGTCCTTAGATAATAGGAATGTCTATGAATTTGTACTGCAGGCTGAAAAAAATTAAAGAACTGGGAAATATTCTTCCCTTTCTCTACATACACACACCTGAGCAAGAAGGGATGGTCAATTTTTTTGTTTCCTTTAATGCAGATAATTTGTTTTTAAAATATTATTATATCAACCTTCTAGGATAAGAATTTGCATCCAGTGGTCTTGATGATCTAAATTTGACTGTGAGGAAAAATCTGCCCTATCCTTAACTACTTAAATAACATCCCAAAAGATTTAAGTAAATTCGGGGATAAATGATCAATGAGATTTCTTTATAAATTGGAATGTTGGGAGATTCTTTCTGCATATTCCCCCTCCTTTCCCTGTCCAGGACCATGGACAAGTGTGGCTCGTGCTATAGTAACAGAATCTTGGCTTGGCTGACTTTGACTCAGTTCGGCCTTTCTTGCGCTCTTATCACAGATTTGTTGATATTGCAAGTGTGACCAGTTCTCAGTGGACTTCTGATAACACTTCCTTTGATGTGTGGTTTGCTTCCACATAGTCCAGAAATTTGCTGGTCCAGACCTAGAATTGGAATTCCCCACCACTCCTCACCTGAGTGTGTGACTTAGAGATAGGGTATTTGAGACAACAGATATCTTGATGGTCATTCAGTCAAGTAATTTACCCTGTTCCTTCTAGAAGAATGCCTGTTTGGTAGCAAAATGAGACTGTTTGAGTGCATTTTTATCTCTTTTGAGTTTCCAACTTAGAAATGAGATGTCGTATTTTCCTGCCATTTTCCCCTGTGAATTTAATTTCCTTTGTTTCTGGGCTTCTAAGCCTTCCCTCTCTTCTAACCTTTATCTGGGTTTATTCTCTGAAAAACAAAATTATAATTTGTTAACATGATTGTTAAAAAGAGGTTTTTCCCAAATAGTTTCCGATTTCACAGCTTTTCTGTCTTATAGCTTATCATAGTCTCCTAGAATCAGATTTGAAAGGGAGGGCACTGATACAAAGCACATTTCTCACAAGTCCCAAGATGATCTTCTTTTTTTTTTTTTTTTGTGGGACCCTCGCCGGCGGACGGGGAGTGAACCGGCGCTGCAGAGGCTGCAGGCGGCCTCGCAGCCCAGCGCTCAACCGCTGCTCCACCAGGGGAGCCCCTAAATGGATCTTCTTTATTACATGCTTGGACGTTCGAATGCCCTTTGTCTTTTTTGAATCATGTGTGATATTCGAAAGCACTTGAGTAACCATTTGTCATTTAGAAAAGTTTTTTTCCGCCATACATTTATAACTTGGATGCCAGTTCTTCAAACTCTGCAGATTTTCGTGGAGTAATTGTAACAGTAAAGTCCAGGGAAGTTACAGAGAAGGTAGTATTTTCAAGGTAGGGCCTTGAAAAATGAGAAGGATTTCAGAGAATGGTAGAGAAGTTTCTTTCCAGCCAGTTCAGAGCTTGCTCTGCCTGATGTATGGCCACTACAGGTGCTGTTAGAGGTGGAAGGAAGGATAGCAAAAGCAAACTAGCAGTGGGGGAGCGGTGTGCAGATTCACCATAGAGGGCGTTAAGTGTCATCAGTTTCCTCATCTGTGAACTGATAAGAAGAGTTGTACTTGCCTCACTGGAATGTTTGAAACTGGAAAAAGATGTATACAAAGTACCTGACACATGGTGAGGCCCAGTGCACATTGGGTTTCACTATCATTTTTGCCACGTTGTAGACAATGAGGGCACATTGCCTGGTTTTTGTGGGAGTGAGTGAACCAACCTGGAGTTTAGGAGGATAGACCAATAGCTATTCGAGGATGGGTTTAAAAAGCATGAGATAAAAATGACCATTCAGATGGTCATGAGGTAATGAGAATTTGGATTGACACAAGAGTCACAGGTAGAACAGAATGAGAATGGGCATAATTATAGATGTATAATTGGCAGAATTTGGTAGCTCAATGTTGAAGGGAAGTTCTGAAGGATGACTAACATTTCTAAACTGGGGATCTAGAAGGATGGCAATGTCATAGGCCATAAGCCATAGGCATATGAGGGCATATGAGAGGAACACATTTAGGAAGGCACAGTTTGGGTCATGCCAAGTTTGAGGTCCCAGCAACACAGCCCTTTAGAAGTATGGAGGAGACTCGGAATATGTGTGTTTTTTGAACTCAGCAGAGAGGTCTGAGCCTGAGCTATTGAATGTGAAATCATCAGTACAGAGTTGAGCCTACTCATCTGCCAGCACAGGTTCAGCTCTGGGTTGAATGGGAAGACCATCCAGAAGTCAACAAGAACAGGACCCATCCTGGCTTGGTGGGAGCCAGTGCGGGGGCTGGGGCTGGGGCTTGGAGAGAGTACAGGGTCTTGAAGACAAGGTGTCTTTGGCAATAGATTAGAATTCAGGGCCTACACCAGCAGGTCCTGAGTAAGCAAGTAGAGTCATTTCCCAGAAGGCATGTTAGGGCAATGAACAGTTCTGGGTTCCCTTTATTTAAAAGTGTCTGTGACACATTGGATTTGAGACATCTCAATTCTTCCTCCTAGATTGTTCTAATTATATTTTGTTAGACTAGAGTTCCAGAGACACTGAGTGGGCACTGACTGTCCATGTTTCAGCTTCTGGAAAGATCTCCCTCCACCAGCTTGAGTCAGAAGAAAATTGTTGACACCTTAGCCCTAGCTAACTACAGTGGTTAGAATAATTTCCTAAAATATATCTTTTAATATCAAACTATTTATTATCTTACTAATAAAGCTGCGTTGTGATTTCATATTAGCAAAGTATTCCCAGTTGTCCATAGTCATTTCTTTGTTGTTGAAGAACAGGAACTATATTTAACAAGCGGTGGCGTTCAGGAGCATGGAGGATAAAATTACACAGTGTGGAGACGTGTCACTGAGTGTCAGGCCAGCACAGCCCTGGGCTGGCTGCTCTACCCCCTATCAGCGAGTGACTTGATCTCTTAGACCCTCTGTTTCTTCATCTGTAAAATGGAAATGACAACATGGCCCACAATTTCAGAATCAGAAACAGTGAGAAATTCCCACTTAGGTCTGGACCAACACATTTCCTGACTCTGGAAAAGCAACCCACTTAGGAGAAAGTTCTTGTGGACTACAGAGTGCTAAACAAATCACAGGTGATGAAGGTCGAGACTGTTAGTGTTGTGATTACTTACTTACCTCATTGCTTCGTGACACATTCGTTTAGACTCTGAGGATGTAGGAAGAGTTACTCTCTGTGTTTAGGTATGATGGGAATCCACCCCACTCATTTCCTGGGGTATCTATAGACCTTTCTAGAACTTGTGGATTGAAATTCTTGGTACTCAGATCCTGGAATTCTGAGACTCCAAATCTTATACCTTTGAGCTGACGCTGAGGCCCATGTTCCCCACAGGCTTCTGGTACCCCAAAAGCCCTGCTTCCCTGTGTTCAGCAGCGCCTTCCCACTGCTGCAGTGAAATGTTCTGACCTGTCGGTGACCTGCATTCAGGACCCAGCCTCTGCTCCAAGGCCAGCCGGCTATAGCTCTCACTCCCTGCAGGGCAATGACGTGGGAGTTTGAGATTGGGGATGGCCACACCTATCTTGCTCACCAGGATGTAGTGGGGATTAATGCCCTGATGCTTATAGAGAGTGTAGTTTCTCCAGAAGAGGAGGGCCCTGGTTCAGTATCATGACATTATGACCTTGTCTTATCCTTTTTAGCTTAAAAACTTATGTGAGTTTATTTGAGATGGGGTGAGATACAAGGCTTCCCCCCAGCTCCTGCATTATCCTGTCCCACAGGAAACCTTCCCTGCCCCTCATCCATACAGGGCATGCCCGTGGCAAACCAGCATTGTCAGTGGGCTGGCTTTTTCCCAGAAGCTTCTTGGGAGGAGAAGCCATGGGCTAGAGCAGGAAGTACACATTGTGGCACCTGAATGGCCCTCGGCACCCATTGTCCTGCTTGTGCTCACAACAGCCCTCTGCTCTGCTCCACCATCCTTTCTATAGAAGAAGAAACAGAGGCTTGTCACTTGCCCAGAGTGTGACAACCCAGCAGATTGAAACCAGGCATTTTTTTACTCTGGCGCCTATATTTGTGTCATCAGCGTGTCTGGTTCCCCTTGGGGGGGGCTTTCTGGTAAGTGCCTCTGTGCCCAGACTTGACCCCCAAAGTGAGCTCAGCCCTCTTGGTTCCACTGGGCTGCTGTGCAGCTGAGCCATGTGGTGAATCCCTCAGATGTTCTCAGAATGCTCTCGTTCAGACGAAACCCACTGATGTCATCAGGAAGTCCTCCCACCTCGCTCTCCACTTCCCCATCCACAGCTTATTCACTGTCTGGCCATCCGTGTGAAAGACTGTTCTGTGGAGTGGGGAGACAAGGGCGCAGTCAGAGGACTGTTTGCTGGGCTGGTGAATACTAAATGAGGGCCGCCAGCACCTGTCGACCCAGCAACTGATTTCCGAGGGGCATTTCCACGTCACAGAAGTTGAAGTGATGAAAAGTGTCCTTACTGAAGTTGGGCAGGAGTCTCTCCTTCTCAGAACTGATTTACTTACTATAAGCTATTTGCTCTCATGCTTAAAGCATTTACTTTGAGACCGCAGGGTGCTTTAAACGATAGTAAAACAGCCCTCTAGCACCTCCGGCCCTTACGCTGAGGCAAAGCCAAATCATCAGCATGAGGCAGTCCGGACCCAGGGCACCCTGATGCCCGTCATCGGGCAGTCTTTTTAGAGCCACGTTTTAACACCTGCTAAGGTGTACTAACCACCTGATAGGGACATGTCTGTATTTTAAAGAGAAATCTTGGCAGACAGTGTATTGTTCGTTGCATTGATGAGAGCCCCTCTAAGTTCAGACGCCTTGATCCAGACATCAGAGGCAAGAGAAAGTTTCCCTTCGGTGGTGACTGCTGAACGTCCCCCAGCTGGACAAACGGGAGCTCTCGGATCAACTTTATTCCCCTTCCGCTTTACCTCTTTTGTCTTGTATTCGTTATTTTTGATCTTGTCTTGTATTTGTTCTGTTTGATCTTAATATAACTGTGCTTTTTGAGAGTTGTCTCGGATCACTGGGCCGAAGCTGTGTGTGGGCAGGAACCTATATTTGTATTTCACAGCTGGATGCTCAGAACCCAGCGCAGGGCCGATCCCACGAGGGGTCGAGTGACTGCATGAACGAGTGCACGCATGTCGGATGTGTCAGGATGTAGGAGGTCGGCGACTTTGAGATGTAATTAGAAGAATGATGCTCAGGGAGATGGGGCAGGGAGATGGTTTCCAGGGAGACGGGGCAGGAAATGGACAAGATGGAGTGTGTGTGGCCTGCAACCCTGTGAAATCGGGCTTCTCTGCCGTTTTAAATCTGAAGACACAGACACTCAGAAAGGTGAAGTGAGTTGCCTGTGATCCATAGCCAGCAAATAGAGGGTGGATAGACTCAGGCCCAGGCCAGCCTGACTCCCGGCTGTGGGTGTACCCATCCAGCCCACTGCCTTCAGGGAGACCGCATTCAACGGCCCTGGCTTTGAGTTCCCCCATGTGGGTGACTCACCCGCCCATTTCTTCAGCCATCGCTTTACCACTGAGTCCCCACTGGCCTGCTCCACCCCTACTGGGACTCTTAATTCCACCCCCAACCTGGTTTCCCAGTCGTGCCCCATCCGTGTAAGGCCCATCACTCGGGTCCAACAATGAATGAGGCTCACTCTTCTCTCCCTTTACGTCCCACTCCTGATCTGCCAGCAAGTCCTGGAGGCTCTGCTTTCAGACCTGTCATGAAGCGGGTCGCTGCTACCACCCCGCCAAACTGCTCTCTCTTTTCTGGACTACTCAGGAACCCCCGATTTTCCCTGCATGAACTCTGCCCTGAGTCTCTACAAAGCCCCACCACTGTCATGTTTCCAAAGTGCATACCAAACAGCGTGCCTCTCCTGTGTCAGCCCCTCCGGAGTTTTTATATTTAGAATGAAATCCCAAGCCCCACTTACCTCTGTAATCCCTCCTTCTTGTCCTGGGCGCCTCGGCCACACTGACCTTGCTTATACTCCAGGATACCCTTCCTCAGCCTGGGCCACAGTGGCGAAGTGTGTCACCCCCTCAGCAAGGCCTGCCCTCACCCCACTTAGAAAAGCCTCCCCACCCCGGGCTTTCCCCCTTGATCCAGCCTCCTTGCCTTCATGGAATTTCACATGACCCGAACTTTCAGCTCCAGTGTCTTTAGTGGTGACTTAGTGATTATCTGTGGCACCTTGGAGGGTTCTCAGGTGGGCGCAGCACCAGGACAGGGCCTGGCTCGGGTAGAACCTCAGAGAGGAAATGAATGTGTGCCCATCCATTTTGCTATTTAGCGCGTGCTCCTTTTTGATATCTCTTCCCCAATTAAATACTCGCACAGGTCGGAAGTTTACACTGCAGGCCTTAGAGTGAAGTGGCCTGACTTGATTTTCTTTCCCCCTCACAGTTGCCCTAAAATTGGCTGTAGCCACACAGATGTGAGAATGTCTGACCTCATCCTGGATGAAGCTCTCCGGAGGGCTATTGAGAGCCACAAGAAAAAACGTCAAGCAGAGTAGGACGAAGCCTCCTGCCCGCAGGGACGTCTGCAGCCTACCTCCTACCCCGGCCACCTGTAGCGAGCGCGCTTATCCCAGCAGCCTGACTGGCTGCCTAGCATACTTTGGGGTAAACCTTGAGGGTTTTAAGCATAACGGAAAGCATTTTTCTATGTTCCAACAGAATTTCAAGCAGATTATATTGTTTATTTTTAAGTGTTCTATAACTTTAAATAAAACTTTGATGCTTCACAGTGCGTGCTGCCTTGCGCCTCCAGGCCCAGCGTTCCCGCGGTGCAGGCTTCTCTGTTTCTATGACTTCAAACTGTTTTCTCTTAAGGTTTTACCTAAACAATATCTTTCAGGGGTTGTTTGAAGTAGAAGCACATAGAAACACCCCAATGGCTAACATTTTCTATCAGGATAATAATAGTGTAAATAATACATAGTTGTAAAGCAGTACTAGTTGACTGACCTATATTTATTCTGAATATTGACAGTTCCAAAAATGTAAATGCTTTTATATGCTACCCTGACTGGCACAGAATGTGCCGGTAAGTGACTTCTCAGCGCATAATGGAAACTTGACTGGAGCCTTGTCCCAGCTGCCTTTCACTGTGCCTCTCTGCAGGTGTCTTCAGCCCCTCGGGCCCTGGGGTCTTCAGCCATGAAATAAAGATGTTGCGCAAAATGCTGTCTGATGTCCCTTCAGTCTTGAAAGTTGAAAAGAATAAATAAAGTTGAAAAGCTCAGGACCTTTACATGGAATATCTTTGTTCTGTTCTAATTGCATGGAGAGTGCTAATCTGTTAATAGTCGCCACAGCACCCTTGTCAACTAGTACATTTAATTAAAATGAGCAAAGCATGCTCTGACTATACTTGGGAACCAAAAATAGCTAATAATGGCATTTATTAAGCACTTACTGTGTACCAGGTACTATTCCAAGTGATTTACTTAAATGTTAATGTCTATCATTTTCACAGCCTGATGAGAGAGGTATAGTTACTACTCCCACCGAACAGACAAGTAAAATGAGGCTCAGAGAAATGACATAACCTTAGAGCTAGCAAGGCTGGGCTGGGACAGGAACTTCCAGAGCCTCTTCCAGAGCCTGGATTTGTAATGCCACTCTCTCCTCTTCCCTATGGATGTATCTAAAAATCTAGAAATATATTCCAAACATAAAATAATTTTTAAAAAAATTAAATAAAATTAAAATAAACTGCAGGTCCACTTTTTTTATGATTTTAAATTTATTTAAAATGAAATGAAAACGGTTGCAGAAAATAAACACTGAGAATGTTAGGGAAATGATTAAAATGTTACTGAATAGGATGCTTTGGATTTTTGAGGAGTAAAGAGGAAAGTAGGGTAGTTTTTCTTGCAGGTAAGATGACAGAGATGACAGCGAGAGGTAAGTAAACCTATGAAAGTCTATATTTAAACATAAATCCTTTTGTAAAGAAACAACCATTTGTGTGTGTGTGTGTGTGTGTGTGTGTGTGTGTGTGTGTGTTCAAAAGAAGTTCATTAAAATACAGGTGATAACAGAATTTGACACCTAATAGTGAAGGCTATGAAATGATGAAGCCTAAAAGCAAAGTCTAAGAAAGTAATTTTGAAGACATCTTCATGAAATTCAGAAAGTAATATGACATTCAGTTGTCTACAGCTAAGTGATTTTGAATTTCTTTAAGATACTTTATCTAAATCAGACTTGCTGAGGAAATTATGTCGTCTAAGCCAGAACAAACATGATTTTCAGGGAATGTGTTTTTTTGTGAAATACTTTGTTTCCTAAACAAATAGGGACAAGCATGAAGTCCTTGTCCAAGGTTCAATTTGCATCTCCCCCAATTCTCTTCGAAGAGAATTCTAGAATACTGGTGTGAATACCAGTATCAGGAAAAGGCAAAGTGTAGTATTTGTATCCTGTGAGGTTTTTATCTTCCTTAGTCTTTAGAAACTATGTTTCACAAATTTGTCAAGCCAACTAAAGAATTTGGTGGCTTATATAAAACTTATTTTCATTTTTGAAGGTTTACCATTTGGTGTCATTTTCAATCTGATATATTTGTTGAATTTGCTATAGGACTTTTCCCCCAAAGTGAAGCCATTTCTGCAAATGAAATCATATTTATCTTGCCCAGTAATATGATAACTGAAAGGGAGCAGTTCTAGTCAAAGAGGAGGCCGCCCCAGTCCTAGCTGAGATCACCCCAAGGCCCTGTGAGTGGCATTTGAAAACCACAGTAGACATTGTAGCTACCTCATTTTTTAATTTTTTTTCAGCTATGGCTGGTTTAGAACTTGACGATTGTATGAATGTGGTATTTCTTAAAAAATGCTAGTTCCTTTAAGAAACTTTAAATTGAGGATGTTAAAACATTACCCAACTCCAAAAGAGAAGATAATTTATCTCCCACCTGACAAAGAGCTTCAAACATGCCTTGTCCCTCTTGAAGCAGCTGCTGTAGTGCATGCTGCTTCCTGCCAAATACCCCAGACTGAAGTTTAATGTGAGGGGAGAGAAGTCACAGGACCAAGAGACACCCAGACCCCCTGCAACTGATCCTGACTATGCGCCAGACTCGGGTCTAAGCACCGTCAATGTATCACCCTAAATTAACTCTCCCTATAACTCTAGAAGGTGATTGTTATTGCCCCCATTTTACAGATGAGAAAAAAGAGGCTTCCAAGTCATCAAGTTGTTTGCCTGAGGTCACTCGCTTGTGCATGGAACAGCCCATAATGGAAGGGAACAGTGAGTACAGAGGCAGCCATCTGACTGGCAGGCTTTCTGCCCCAGGGTCATAGACGGCACCTAAATGCATTTCTCTCCCATCTTCCTATTTCCGTGACCAAGACCACCCTATCCCAGGCTTGCAAATCCATCAACCGTACATTTAGCCTAGTCCAGTGCTTCTCTCTTCCCTAGTTCCCTCTGCAAAGACCCCACCACACCCAGGCCACTCTTCTTGCTTCACAATTACATGTCTTATTCATCAGCCTCCCAGCTTCAGAGGGATCTGTTAGGATACCAAGTAGGTAATGTCCCATCCTACTGAATGCAGCATTCAGGATGCCACCCCTAACCTGCCTCACTCCTGTCTCCCAACACTCCCTTTCACCTGTTTTTATGGCAGGGTGTCTTCTGGGAGGGGAGCTACAGATGATCTTGGGGAAGACACTTCACAGCTCCAGGCCTTAGATTTTTCATGTAAACGAAGAGCTCTGGACTTCTCCCCCAAAGTTTCTTTAGACTCTTAGATACCATGGCATATATCCATGAGTAAGTCCTATGGGACAGTTATGTCCCCTTTGAAAGAAAAATAAGTTGAGACTTGAACAAATGTAGAGATTGCATCTTCAACTATTCAAAAAAATGCTTATATAGACTCACTTGTATGCCACATTTTGTACTATTCTCTGGAGGGTTTCTTGACTAGTTAGAGCAGACAGAAGTCCAAGAAAATAATAACATCAAAGTGCCATGTATTTGGTAGAGTAGCACAAAGAAAAGAAGTACAGGAAAACTACTGAGTAAATTAAATTTGTGTTTTAATAAATCAGCAATGAGATTCAAAACTTGTTAACGAACAATAAAATAAAAGTGAGTCTGTGACACCTTCTGCTTGGGAGATGGGTGGACTAGCCAAGAGGTGGATGGCCCAGCTGTGTGGGAAACCTGCCCCCTAGCCCATGGCAGACTTTGGAGGAAGGTAACTATTCTGAAAAGAAGGCAGGTAAAACCAGAGCCGTCCAAATCCTCAGACATTGTTGTGGCAATGAAATGCACTTGGAAAAATTTGACTTTTTAAAAATATGTTCAACAAAAATGTACCACTCAGCCCAGCAATTCCACTCCTAGGTGCCTACCCAAGAGAAGTGAAAACATATGTTTACGCAAAGACTGGACTAGGAATGTTCGTAGATAGTGTGATTTATAACATTAAAAAGAGGGGAAACAATCCAGTGCCCACTGGTGAATGCACAAACAAAAGTGGTGAATCTCTGCAATGGAATACTTGGCAATAAAAAGGAATGAAGCACGTACTAATGCATGCCACAGGCTGGCTGACCTGTCCTCAGGGAGAGAAGCCAATCACAAACATCACATATGAGTCCACTTATATGAAATCCTGCAAAGACAGGTCTATAGGGGTGGAGAATAGATTAGTGATGGTGGGGGGTTGGGTGTGACTAACAAGAGATTACTTGGGGAAGAAGGACACAGATTGGGGGTGAAGATTGTACAAATCAGGTTTCCTAAGTCATTGTGTCCACTTCGAACAGGTGAATTTTATGACCTACAAGTAATGCAAGCAAGCTGAGGGGAGATTGATTGAAGGTTGGGGAAAGGAAACCGCCCCCAGAAATCACAGGATATGAGCCATTGGTGCTGCAAATTCAGCTAGTAACCAAATCTCTACTCATCTACTGAGAGGACTCTTCTAAGAAGAGTTTTTGAATCTTACTCTTCAAGATTAGAATCAACTAATAAGAATTCAACTCAAGACTTCAAAAATCCAGGATTAAAAGAACCAATCATTTGAAAACCTGTGAAGGGTTATCGAAAAGATCAGATTACCTAATGACTGATCACTGCAAAGAACTTCATTTCTCCTATCTCTCTTTCTTGATCTCCCATCCCATGTTCATTGGATACAGTAGTCACACTTCTAACTGGTAGCTTTTATGTTTAAAGAGTGTAATTGAGTGACAACCCTGGCCACACTTCTTTTCTCTGTTAATGCTGCTGTTGGGAGGGATGAAATTTGGTTCTTGAAGAGGACCTTGACCTGATTCCATGAATGGCAGAATGACCCAAATTTATAATAAGATCATCAACATTTACAATCATAGAAAGGAACTTTAAGTGAGGATTTTTTTTTAATGGGGAAAAAGACAATTGCTCTTAAAATAAAAACAAAAAGAAAAAACAAGATACAGTTATGAAAGGAAGCAACCCAAGGGCCATTTTTCTCCTAAGATTTTTTTGTTTTATGCATACAAGAACAGGGGTGTAGGCCAGAGGTGCAGGAGCTGAGAAGATTCACCAGAGACAGAGCAGGAAGCAGAACAGACAGATCCACTGAAATCCACTGCTGAGGGGAGCAGCAGGTAAGGCAGGAGAAGTCTGCTGTGCCATGTGGGTCAGCTCCCTGGCCTGGGATCGAACTCTTGCTGCAGTGGCTGCCAACTGCCTCATAGTGCTGAGACTTAATCCCTTGCACCACCAGGGAGGCCCCTAAGGACCATTCTTTATCATAAACACTACCAAGTTGAAGGGCAGGGCCAGTAAGAAGGAACTCGGCTTTAGACTATCCAAGCCAGGTGGTGGTGCAGAATCAGGGAACCTCTGGCCTCCCAGCTCAACGTGGTGCCTGGGTTTCCAGCTAGTTCCAATCACTAGGTCACAAAGATTATGGAGACCCTGATTAGTCTAGGAAGAGCAAAAACAAAGCCAAGGATGATGAAACAAGGAGCTTTGCTGACAGGATTTGGGGATGCTTCTACCCACAGGGGAAAAACTGAGATGTCTGTTTTATTCAAAATATGGAGGATGTGAGGAATATGCTAGAAGGCAATTAATAATAAGTGCCATGAGAAGGCCGATTAAAGGCTCCTGCAGCGGGGACAATGACTGTTAGAGTCTTAACACAAAGGCTCTTATCCAGGAGTCCATGAACTCCCCAGGGGGTGTGGGTAAAATTCAGAAGGTTTCGGAATTAGTATGGGGGAAATAATTACATCCCTACTTTTACTAACCTCTAATTGGA